AGCATGATTCAACATTGAAGTTACACAAGAAGCTTCACATGAAACATTAATTAGTTTAAATATTGAACCCTGTGGTATTCTTTACAGTTTAGTCGTTTCAGATTACTCAAGTCTCATATGTCTCTATTTAGCTTTCAGATTGACTTGACAAGTTCGTCCCGCGTACCACTTGAAACATTCGCATATCATTGCGTTCTCACGATCGAAGCAGCTACCATGATAGTTGCAGCCTGCACAGCCTATTGCGTCAGCTGAAAGTTTTTATTAAAAATTACAATTTAAAACATAATCGTGTCATTATTTGTACAATTTTTATTATCATTGGATTAATCTTAAAACGCTTTTAAAGTCAAATTATATATAAGGGTTATGTTTTGATGTCTAAAATACCTCATATATTTCGTGCGACAGAGTAACAAATGAAATCAACTTACAAGAACATATCCTTCCAGGGTATAGAGTGTTGACGCTAAGGTCTGCAAAACCTTCTAAACAACTACAAGTGTAAGTTCCACGAAGGTTGAAACAGCGTGTTCGGAACAGTCACTGAACTGACTACTTGTGCATTCGTCGAAATCTGAAAAAATTCAAATGCTTCTTAGATTTTAATAGTATATAAGTAACAGTGGCGTGCACGATAAAATACGAGAAGTAATCAGAAAATATTAATTTAAATTTAATATTGATAAAACTCGTTCAAAATGGTAGGGACAGCAGTCCGATATGAACGAACATCTATATTATACTTTATGAATCTCTCAACTACCTCTGAGCCACGAATGACGAAAGCCACGAATCCTTAAAACGATAACGATCTGTTCACCACAGCTTAAGTTATAAAAGTTATTTAAATAGGAATATTAAAAATAATAAGAAATATTCTTATTACCTATTACCTTTTCAAAATAAGAAACAAGGTAATCAAAATAACTGATTTGTCAGTACACAACCTGCTAACTAATTAAAACAATAACATTACCTTTCTTTTAGTTCAAACTCAATTGGTCACACACCTTGAATTTACACTTATTTTAATTTTATTACCAAAAGGCCAATATTGAAAATCTAATCGTAACTAATTTCAATAAACACATATCACCAGCACAGAGCTCACAGCAATAATTTTACACAATTCGTTAATAAATTAATCCACTGTTTACTAATTAAAACTTACTTCACTTGCGCTTACTGCTTAGAAAGACCAATAACAATATTCAAAAACAATAAAATGGCGGAAAAATATATGAACAGTTTACCGACCAATCAGAGCGTCCCGTATCATTTGACAATTAACAAACGAAGTTTCGTTTTAACATTGATAGATGGCACTTATTAACAAATCATAAATCAAATATCGTTTTAAATTTTTCAATGTTAACCTTGCATTCGTTGAAAGAATGCCCCTCTGTGCATATGGAGCATCGCGGTGAATTTTTACAAAATTTAGCTAGATGATCATAGCGTAAACATTTAAAACACTGTTTTATAGTTTGGACATATGTGGAGAGAGGCAGGCGCCACATCTTAATGTGAACATAGTCCGGCAGTGACGTAGCAGACGCAAAAGTTATTACGCTCTGAGTAGGTTGCAGTGTGAAGGTGTTATTTTCTCCTTTTACTTTACGCATTATGCGTCGAAAGAAATGACTTTTTTTGTTGTTGATATTGATTTATATATTTTGTGATTGGATAGATGAGTGGGAACCGAAGAGATAACTCCCGATAGTTCGGTGGCCCCTGCTGGTATTGAAGCTTTAAGTCGTTGTTTCTTTAGATATGTAGTATTTTCGAAAAAGGCATTTGCCAAATTCGCACGTTGGAAAACAACACCAACCGATTTATAAATTTTTTTAAATATTGTATACCTTTCACAGAGCGTATAAAACTAGTACTAAGCGACATCATGTCCCTATTACCGAGTGGGACATCATTAGTACTTTCGACAAATACTATGAATTCAGACATGACTTCCGCATCTTCAGGGTATCGCCAACAATAATCAGCGACCCTAAAGGGAGTGAAGGCATTTGCATCCTGCAATACTGGCGAATCCTCGCAATCGGAATCACTGCTTGTGCTGAAAGGCAAGGACTCACCCGAATCCTTCTTTTTACGTTTTTTCACCATCTCTCCATATAAACACTTACATATATACATATTAAGTTTTACTTCTTTACAATTAAAGTAAACAAAAAGTTGCAAATTATAGTAGGTATAAAACTATTTAAAATAATTAAAATTTTCAAAAAGCCCGCGTCAACGTTTCAATTCCCGCGCTCTTTTGTAACCATCATAAACCATAGATATTATTTTTTGGTTATGTTCGTTCCGTCCAGAACAGGCAAAGAGAACAAAGCCCATACAACCATGTCTTTTGTATTTTGTATCTTTAATTATTTTTAAATGTCTTAATCAGCCTATGACTGAATCCACTCACAAGCATATACTCCGCTGAATATGGAGCACATTCAAAAACGGACTCATCAAAAGTGGATTATAATAACGGATAGTTTAAGTTTATTAACAGCACTACAAAATCCACAATTAAATTCTAAAACTAACTATATTATATATAAAATAAGAGAGTTGTATCACCTGCTGTCTCAAAACAAGCAAATAGTCCTATTCTAGAGCAAGCAGATTATTTAGCTAAATTTATTACAAATCCGGCCCACAATCAATTAAGTCACAGCTTTTTAAATTTCCCAATTCCTTATTCAGACACTCTTCAAACTCAAGTTACAGAAAGAATTTTACAACTTAGGATTGGTGTTTTTGACTCTTCAACTTGTAGATATTGCAATAGTGCTGATGAAACCCTCGAACATATATTTTTTGATTGTCCACAGTTTAGTATTCAAAGGATGGTCCTTGTAGACCAACTTTTAAGTATTTTTAAAACTGCTGAAGATATCCCGCGCTCCCTTCAGCAAATATTAAGCATTCAAGAATGCTTCTTGTCAGTTTGTGGCTTTCTTGTTTCTACTATAAATGAAATCTAATTGTTATTTGTACATATGTATATAATACAAATTTATTCGTTTTGTTTTAGATATTTGCTTTCAGCTATTTTCAGAATTTGACTGTTTTATCGATTTTGACAAATTAATTATTGTACTAAAAATAACATTACAAGGACTTGACATTGAAAATCTTTTTCAATATCAAGTCCTTGTAATGTAAAAAAAAAACAAGGATTTGACATGGTTTCGGCCTTATAATTAAAAAAGGATTCAAGAAGAAAAATTAAAAGAAAACTTGGCTTAGGCCTGATACAAAAACTTGAGTTAAGAATAAAAAGGAGATTAATACATTTAAATATAATTAAAGATACAAAATACAAAAGACATGGCTGTATGGGCTTTGTTCTCTTTGCCTGTTCTGAACGGAACGAACATAACCAAAAATATATATATATATATGTATTTATGATATCTGACATCTGACAAGTGACAGATGTTCAGATTATATGTTGTTAAATATTGTCGAATTCAAAGTTTACTTGTTATCAGGTAAAAATATATGTATATTAAAAAATAATGATTTAAAATCTATTTAATCCCAAGAAATGCCAAGAAAACCATATTATTGGACACGTAAACTGGAGTTAGAGCGTGTAGAATTTGTACGACAAAGAGAATTTATATGGAAGCCGTCAGGTAATACTAATCATCATATTCAACAAAAATACAAGGCCTACGCTGAATTGGCTGCAAATTTAGGAAGAGGATTTACAGGTTAGTTGTAATATATTCATTGTTTATGTTGTCCTTCTACCTGGCAATTTCCCAGCTTTAGCCAGGGTCCGCCTTAAATGTTGTGAATAGTTTTGGCTAATTGTTTTTACGACCAGTCGCCTGCCTGACATCAACCCTCTTCGAGAATGCATTAGTCAGTGATGTCTAAATACTCTTAGAAAGTACATATGACTCGGAAAAATCACATTGGTACTTGCCAGGATCGAACCCCCGCCCTCATGCATGAGAGGCGGGCTTTTTAACCACTAGACTGACCACCACTGACTGTAATTCATTGTTTATATTGTCATTCATACAAAATTAAAGTCATGTCACCATTATATGTACTGTATTTTCACATCAGATGACTAATTCCTTGTAACAACTTTTTATCATATATCATTCCAGCTCGCTCAGTGAGGAACCGTTGGGTTAATATAAGGAGTACATTCAATCATAACTTACGTCAAGTTGATAAGTCCAGAGACACAGCGAGCTCACCGTCGGAGGTGTATGTATCGAGCTGGTCGCTGTGGAGACCGTTACAGTTTATACAAACTATCAGAACTGATGACAACAATTATGATGTGAGTTACTATATGTATATTAAATAACTTTAACTTGTGAGTTACACTTTATAATGAGAGTATTATAACAAGCACATCAAACAATTGAAGTCATACTTTGTGGTTAAAGAACTTTATTTCTCATAAAGAACATACAATGTTCACTCAAATGAGATGCATAACATAATTTAATTTAATTTATAATTTAGTAAAGTAGTAACAAACTTATATGTATAACTCAAGAGTGCTTAATGTGCAATTAATCTAAGTGCTTTTTACAATAACTTAATAATTTCTTTTTAAAAATCGTAAAGGTTTTTTCCTTATATTATTTTGAAGCGGGAATGCAGCATCCGCAACAATAACACTTTCTGCTGGAATATTCAGACTACCGTCATCAATTGCTCGTTTTAAAGAACAATTACTAAAAACTCCGCCGTCAGAATATCTGCCCTTTGCTCCAATATCAATATAAGTGAATGAATAATCATCATCGACACAAGCTAGTAAAACAATGCTAAAAGTTTTTTTATAATTATAGAACTCAGATCCACTACAGGCTGGAGCTCGCAAGTTTATATGTTTACCATCAATTGCCCCAATACATCCAGGAAAATTCCACTTTAACTGAAATCCAGTTTTTATATCCATCCATTTTTGTTCTGTGTTTGGGACTTGAAAAAAAGAACATATAATCATGAATATTTTTTATTTACAGATCGATGAAAATTCGGAAATAGCTACTGATACTGTTGACTTTGAAAATAATAATACGGCATTAGAAGAGAATGATAGAGAAGAAAACTCAAATGCTGCGGATGAAATTATTGAAAATCGAGTTCAAGAACTAACCGAAACGTCTTCATCTACATTCACTGTGTCATCAAAACTGGCAACGAAGAAAAGGGGCAAAACAAATAAAAGACAGGACGAGGTACATGAAGCCATTGACAAAACAAATAAAATTGCCGAGAATGTTACTAAAATACAACATCTTTACTACAAAATAAAGAAGATGAATTCGACATTTTTGGGAGATATATAGCCTCGACTTTACATATATAGCCAAACGAGTTTTCAATTATTGCAAAAACAGATATTCGAAAGGCTTTATCGGAAATTCAATTAAAAGCAACCTACCATCAATATTTGCAGAAGAAAATATGAAATAAATCTCGATACTTGCAAATCAAGTGATTATGCTTTTTTATAATTTAAAAGTAAATATACCAATCATAGTTAATTTTAAGCTTAGTTATATGCCCATAACTTACCTTTGGCAAATAATTGAGAAGAATTGGGAGAACTCCTTTGTAGATGAACTTGATTCATATTTAAATCCAAGTGGTGACTACAAGAAGCATCATTGTCTTCTTTTTGTGTATCAATGCATTTTTCAGTTTCAACAGAAAGTGATGAGTGTACAGTCTGAAATGTTGAAGCTGATAAATAAAATATTTCTTTTTAAACAAATAAATATATTAAAAGAAAAGTTAAATGAAAAATCATAAAATTGAATGATAACATATTGTCTTAATTGTATCTTCCTTCCTTGTTTCTTTTAGAGTTTCTGATTGAATGTTAATAGACTTGTAATTTTTACTGAATTAAACACTGCCATTCTTATATTACATAAAAAACTATAAACAACTTTTTTTGGTTTGTAGTTATCCAGTGAAATTATAATCTCTGCATATTTAGAACACTTTGTTTTTGTTTTACCTATGTAAAGAAGTGACACAAGTAGTTATTTTGCTATACTGTTTGTAGGCACTTTATTTAGAAAAAAAATAGGTAATAAAGACCACACATTATAAATCTATCAAACCACATGTAAGGATATAAAAATGTTAAGATGACTTGTATACCTATTTAATTATATTCAATTAAATCAAATTTTTGTTTTTAATTTTTAATTATGAGCACCAATTTCTAAAGTAAAATAATAATAACGTAAAATAGTATCTATAGTTATAAAATATAATTGATTATTTATAGTTTTTTTTTATATTAGCAGTATGTATTGTGTGCCTATAACTGCTTGGGAAGTTGCTTACTTTAAATTCTTAAGTATAGAGTTGGTACAGCATTTTGAGTAACTCGTTTACTTGAAGAACGGCAAAACTGTTCAAAATGACGGTTGAAAATGATGTAACAAGAGTAGTAATTGATTGTATATATGACAAATAATCTAATATATAAAATTCTCGTGTCACAGTTTTCGTGCCCATACTCCTCCGAAACAACCTGACCGATTTTGATGAAATTTTTTGTGCTTATTCGGTAGCTATGAGAATCGGCCAACATCTATTTTTCATCCCCCTAAATGTTAGGGGTAGTCCACCCCTAAATTTTTTTTTTTATTTTTTAGACAAAATTTTTAATTACTATTTTTTTATGATACAACGTACAAAAATACATACAATCCTAAATTTTCACCCTTCTACGATCAACCCTTATTTTTTAATAGCTATTTTAGTAATTTAATCATTTTTCATCTCCGGTCGATAACTGATCAATCGTCATTTAATAAGTTATCCCCGCCAGATATCTACAGGTGTCACTTCTGACCCAGTAAACAGCACGGAGTAGGGATGAGAACGAAGCCGGTCTTCTGTTTCTCTCACACAATTAGACTTCTCTCACTCCCTACACAGTTGTCGGCCATCGTTATTGTTTGTGCATCAAGTGTAGTAGTAACGTTGACAATTATTATTTTGCTAGCTCAGAGTAACTCTCATATTAACTATTAATCATTCCTAATCACTTCAAAACACGGAGATTTATGGCTTTAATAGGTAAACTCCAAAAATATAAATAAAAAAACGTAACAGATATTTCTTGATTATAGGGCGAAACGAAGTTCGCCGGGTCTTCTAGTAATTTTATAGATTTTACTAAATAAGTATCGTACCTTTAGTCTCACACCGAAAATAACACTTAATAGCCGATTTTCGTGGCATTTTTTCAACTTATCGATAATCCAAATTCGTAGTTTGCAATCAAAATCCAATTGAGACAAGCCGGGGTCGATCGTCAAAAGCGTATAAATTGGAGTCAATGATATATTAAGCCGGGTCAAAATTCAAATGTTTGAAAAAGAACGTACAGCACAAGTAGGGTTGCCATCTCGAAAATTTGGAAAACAGGACAAGACGCGTGAAAACCCCGGATTTTAGAGTTCGAAAGCCGGACATAATATCAACAAGATCTTATCATATAAACATATTCAATGTAATAGAAAACAGTTAAAAATGTCATAAATCACCTTTTTTTATTCATTCATTATTTTAACAAAGCAGAATCATATTACAATTTGTTACACATTGTTTATATAAATCAGCTTTTTAAATTCTTGAAATAAGAAAACAAAACCTTAGGAAAATATTAAACAAAAACATATATTTAATGAATTAAAATCTGAAAAGTACCTACTTACTTAGACCATTCTAGTATTCAGTCTCACAATTTTCGAGGTAACTTTTTTATAGTTCTATAATTATTATCTGCTTTACTTTTTATCAGCATTCATTTATATAACAAAATATACCAATTTTAGCAGAAAAGAAACTAAATTCAGTCTTCTTAAATATTTAACAATAAAACAGAACATTTTTAAAGTTTAGACCTAATGCAATGTAAGTAATTACATTATTAAAATTTTAGAACAAAATAATTAATCCTATACTTACTCATTTTCATAAACTTAAAGTTTTGATCAACAACCATATTTTAAATAATTTTTACTCAATGAAAACAATCATAACTTCAACTACAAAAATAAAAATCAAGTGTGCGAGCATTGTGCGTGTCTCGCGGGCGGCCCAAATTTTTTTTATTTATTTATTTTTCAAACCTCGGTCTACAAATGAAACCTTCCCCGGACGCTCCCCGGATGCCCTCTAAACTAGGACAAATCCGGGGAAACCCGGACGGATGGCAACCCTAAGCACAAAAACAACAGTAAACAACGGCACATGAGCAACGGAAATAATTAAAAATTTGTCCTAATGTCAAATCAATTTGAGAGCTACTTACGCCATCTATAAAGTTATAAAGGAAAATAGTGTCAAAATGGTTGTACCTTGGTCGTTAGTTGGCAACACTTTCTATTCATTAATTTAAAAAAAAGAATGAAAAAAAAGAAATGAAATAATTATGTAATTAATTGGCTTTTAGATAGTGGGTGTACTGATCACATAATAAATAACGATACATATTTTTGTAACTTTATAGATTTAAAAAATCCTGTTAATGTCAAACTGTCAGACGGTAAAATATTAAAAGCTACTAAAGTAGGATCTGTAAAAATTTATTTCCAAAACTATTATAACCGTAAACATGTAGATTTGAAAAATGTTTATTTTGTTGAAGGTATTAAGCAAAATTTGTAGAGTTTTTCTAAAATAACTAAAAGTTGTACTATAATAGCTAAAAATGAAAATGCCAAAATTTATAATGTGGCTAGGGATTTGATAGTTGTTGGCAATAAAATAATTTGTATTGTATTAAAAGTTTTGTTTCACAGAATGATATGTATGTACATTCAACAGTTTTAACTCAAAAGGAGAAATGGCATAGAGCTCTTGGTCATGTTAATTTTCAATATTTAAATAAATTAATAAATAATAAATTAATTGAGGGTTTACCTGATAAGATTGAGAGTACTGAAATGAAGTGTTCAAATTGTATTAAAAGCATAATGACTTTAAACCAAACAAAGTACATTGAATCTTTGGCTGCTAAATATGATCTTCAGAATACTAAGTTGTATGATACTCCAATGGAAACAAATTTAAAACTATAACAAGCTAGGGAAGTAGATGAAAGTATTAAATACAGAAATATAATAGGAGAATTATTGTATATAAGTACAGGCACAAGGCCAGATATAGCATATAGCGTTAATTATTTGAGTTGTTACCAATCTTATTATAACGGAACACATTACAAGTATGCTCTAAGAATTTTTAAATATTTGTATAAAACTAAGGATTTACACTTAACATATTGTGATAATTTGGATTCTGATGTATTAGACAGTACGGTAGATTCTGACTTTGCAGGAGACAATGTAGATAGAAAGTCTACAACCGGTTTTGTTATAAGATTGTTAATTTTTTGGAAAACACGTAAACAGTGTACAGTAGCTAAATTTTCAACCTTTGCAGAGTATACTGCTATGTCAGAGGCAGTGACAGAAGTACTTTTTATAAGGAACTTGTTAAGTGAATCATTTGATATAAAGTTTTGTAACCCAATACAAATTTATGTTAATAACTCAGGTGCAATTGTAATAGCTAAATATGGTAATTTTATAAAGAACTCAAAGCACATTGAAGTGCAGTATCACTATGTAAATGAGAACTATGAAAATAAAATACATAATTGATATTGTGAAAATTGATAGTACAAGTAACCTGGCAGACATGTTAACTAAAAGTTTAGATAAGAAAAAGTTTTTGAAAAACAGGTTACACTTAAAATTAATTTAGTAAAGTAAAAGATAAATAAAATATTAGTTTGGTATACGATTATATGGATAGCAATGTAAAAGTTTATAAGTTTAGCCATGATGAATGTTGTGTTATTTAAGCTTAAGATTATAAATTTAAGGAGGAGTGTTGAATATAAGTAAATTTTATAATCTATGTTAATTCGCAATATATTGTTAATCTGTGTGTCAAAAGTCGTATCAATTATCATAGTTATGTCGGTTGAAGGTTGATTAAATATATGGAGGTCTTTAAAAAAGGGGTTTTATTTCATCTAAGTATTTTAACAGTAATATTATTATTGAAAATATTTCTAGGACAGTACTAGTAGACAAGAAGACATACAATTTAAACATGTGTAACTAACCAGTTATATGTATATGTTGCTATAGCTTATTACGTTGATGTGACACGCTATCCATATTTTTAGTGTTATCATTGCTTAAAATTTTCGTGACTTCCAAATTTACAAGACCGGCATTCCTTCATACAGGAGTTAAATGATATTAAAAAGACTCCTTCCTCTGCATTCCAGATGAAAACGGAGTGTTCTCTTAAAAATTGATGACTTGAAGCATTGATTTTATTTGACAACCGACAGTAACGTAGCACGCACATTACAGACTGAGATATATAGGTGTTTTCATGACTATGCTCCACTTCACTCCACTCCACTCCAACGTTTTATGAAAATTCTAATATATTTCGAGGCTAAAGCACGCTGACAAATATGCATATATTTTAATTTTCACTTCTTGCTTAAGATATCCGCCAAAAAAGAAAATAGTTTACTGATCAACACTTCTCTTCTCAAAGATTAATGTTGGGAAAAAGAAAGAGGGGAGTTCAGACAAATTAACAGATTTTATGTGACTTTAATAACAAAACATTAGCTTGTTTGATACGCTGCTTCCAATAAATTAATTACTTTTGTTTCTTAATGATATAATGTCAGACTATTTTCTTAAAGCTTAGTTTTATTATTGTATAAATTATCTTATTAACAATGCATTTTCTCAATGTCTTTTGAGTATCTGATATTAAAAAAAATACTTTATATGAGTTAACAACCATCTTTATAATTTTATATTTGTATTTACTTTATATCGTAACCGATAGTTTATGTAACTAATTTTATTTTCAAACGGACGGTTCTTAATATTCTTTGAATCAAAAAAGACGCATATATGACTAGGTATATAAATTTGACACGATAAATAAACTCTATCAGTTTTTAAAAGATAGTACCTAGGGTAAACAGACAGTCATTGGACAATTAAGGGAATAAAATAGTTTGAAGTTTTTTTTTTCCTTCGACTATTTCAGTATCTCATAAACTGTAGAGATATTTGGAAACTAGATAAAATGAGCTATCATAACAATTAATTAAAAACCTTACTTCTTGTGAACAGTTGAAAAATATTATTATATTTAAAAAAATGAACAAAAAACACAGTTATTGGACAAAAATTATAATTATTGGACGGTCGGAAACAATTATTGGACAGTCAATTAATATAGTGAAATTATAGTTAAACACGTAATAAAACACTATGTATAATATTATTAGAACAAAAATAGCTTTTTTTAATTCAAAAAATACATAAACACCTCTGAAAACTAAGTCATATGTAAATTATTCATTACTAAACTCTAATCAGTCTCAAACGTTACAGATCATAAATATTTAAAGAAATAAAATCTGAAAAATAAAGTTTTTTAAGGATTTTTTAAGGTTTAACGATTTTTCAATTTAAAATGCAGTGTGGATTTTGGAATGTCATATTTTCTGGCAATTTCTCTTATCTTTGGGTTTTCCGTTTCCTGTAATTCCCTGAGTGCTGTTATATATGCTAAACAATTATTGGACACAATAAGTGACAATTATGGGACAGTGTCCAATAACTGACAGAATAGTCTGTGATACTTGAAATTGAAAGTACGTCATAAGGAATTTAAATAATTAAAATTAACGCAAAAAACATCATAGAAACTCAAAGCTCTGAAAAAACATAGTTATTGGACAGTGTCTAATAATTGTTTTTTTTCAAATTGTACCATACAATTACTGGACAGGTGAAAATTACCTTAAAATATAACATTTATGAGATAAAAGTCCATTTATCATGTAAATTGTATGATATCTTACCAATCTCCGAGGTGCCAAAACAATATCAATCACCACTATGCCAAAATCGTAACAAAACTTTAGACTCAACCTTATCAAAATATTTATTTTTCAAGACAATTATCCGTTTCCGTGACAGCCGCCGGGAAATAATTTTTTTGACTGTTTATTACTTCCATTTGTTACAAAATATATGAACTATAACAATGTTAGAAACTAATAGATTTAAGTAATAGATATAAGTGTCGGTTTTTATTTGTTGTTATCTTATTTTTAGCAAATCAAAAGGGACTGTCCAATAACTATTCGGTGTCCAATGACTGTCTGTTTACCCTACTAGTTTTTCACTTAATGTATCATAACGAGTCTTGAATTAATATTTGTTATTAGATTAAATAAAAAACAAAATGTTTAAATCAACAAATTCATAATTCATATATTTAAAAATAACGTCATTTAAACAGACAATTTTTCACAAAAATAATTAACAGTTAGGTGGTTCTTTATACAAGTTTGGGTTACAAACTACATATACTGTTTGTTGCCTGTCGCCTGGCTCATCCAAAAACTGAAACAAAACAAATATCTCTTAAAAATTAGTTATAATTGAAATAGATCAACCTTATGATTGATTGATTAACATATTTATATAAAGACAAAGGATATATGAATCCTTTCCATGTAGGTATGGTATTAAAATTTTTGGAGTGTTTTTAGGGATTGATCTGTGATTAGACAAGAATGTATAAAGTACCAGGGAATCTATATAAACCATACTAACACAGCAGACCTTTACATATCAGAGTAGATGTAGTAGTAGGATTCTTTTTCGTAAATTGTGTAAAGTGTAGGAGCTAAAATGAACTATAATAATCGTTCTTACGTGCGGCCACTCCGGCCACAGCGCTGAGCTGATCAAATGCATGTTCCAACTGATGAGTGAACACTGAGAACGGTGAGGTCACATTAAACGGCAGTCTGAAACATAATATTACATTAAATACAGGAACATTTTCATCTTTAAATATGAAACAATGACGAGAAAACACCTAAATTCGGTTACTTGTTCTTGACATTCCACATTAGAACACATCTGAAAATAAAAAAATACGTTAAATAAAAAAAAATTGGATCTATCTATACGATAGGTGTATTAATATATATAGTGTTAGATATCGCTTACCATCAATAGCACTGTCACAAAATAAAACACGGTCCAGGACAAGACCCGCCAGTCTGATGATGAAGACATGTCTTCAGTGAGAGTTCTAAGCAGACTGAACTGAAACATTTTGCAGCTTATATGTTAAGATGAAACTTTATTAATATTAATGAGATTTTGTTTTCTTTATTTTCTTTGTACTTTTATGTGAGATAACACCTTGGCCTAGTATTACTTCGTTTCAAACTGTTGCAGACATACTTATAGGTTTTATTAATAAATATGTGTTTATTCCCATTCACTATACACCATAAGGCTAAGTTTTATGTAGAAATGCATGAGTTATTTAATGGCACCAAAGGTTAGAAAGATTATTTAAAAAGTATTAAATAAAATAAACTTTAATCTAAACAACAAAATCACAATCCTATAGGCTATAAGTAATCGTTATTTCATTTTTTACATAAGCAACAAGTTATAGAAGAAAGGTATGATTACTTACAACATAGTCAGACCTTTGATAACATGTGAATTGATATTAATAGGAAAATTGAAACAATCTCATCTAACATCCTTTCATCGTTTAATAAAAAAGGTAATTAAAGAAATTAGGTATGGTACGCATAACGCAGTACAATTAATATGCAAGCAAAAGTGAACGTTCTAGAACGTTAGCTTCAGCACCTCGTTGCAAATGCATTTTGATTGCATAATAATAATTTGATATTATTAAGTAGTTTAGGTTACACAGACAGCACAGTTATGGAACGGTATCTATACAGTCAGTAGGGATCAACCAGAGTTAGAAAGAGATACCAGGAAGAGCGTATTAATGTCACACTGCAGGTTCTGCAGTTCCTGAATATTACGATGACAATTTTACTATATTTAATGTCTCCAAAAGAAGAGCTTGTCTTTTCACCGTCAGTAAAACATATAGGGCAAAGTGATATTTATTATTGCTAACGTATGTCTACCATTAAGTGACAATCGAGGAAACGATATAATGTTAAATATTTTTAAAAAAGAAAATAAACAAATATGGTGCATACAATAATATAAGCAAAAAAAAAAGAGAGAGGAATGAAGCACTCTCTTTTGTTAAAAGGTAAGTGAGAGGGACATATGTGGCACCACCAACACTAAACAGTAGACATAGATGGAGGATTGAATATAGGTTTAATAAACTAAACTGCTACTGCTTACAAGCTCACTCACGAACTCACTAGAAATAGGTCCATCGTGGTTTTGGGAGAAGTGGACGCAATAGAAGTGGGCGCGAGGTATAGCGGCTGAATCTCTCTACAGAACAATAAAAGACTTGGGCTTGTTCAGAACTAATATCAATTCATTCTTGGAACGTACTTCGAAGACAGCCCTAGTAGGTACGTTTCAAACTTGGTTAGGTAGGAAGGAAGCTTGGACAGTGGAGGTGAGCGTTTAACGCGCGTTAGATAGTGGCCCCTTAAATCTATTTCGGGTCGCAGGTCCCAGGTAGTGTAGAAGCTCCTCTCCCTGTATAGAAGGACCCGGCACCTTCACGATGGATCCATGGAGTGTTAAGAGGTTTCGTCCCTCTTAATAAAAACGATAATACAATCAAAGGGCCGATTTGAATTTATTTCAGAGACTGGTGTCATATTAATAAGAAATATCTATTTTCACTTTATAATCAAGTTATAAAATCCAAAATGTAAGGGCTCGTTAACTTTTTCTCAACATAGTTATAACTTCTAAAATAAAAAGAGAATTAAAGTTAATGTAAAGAAAATCTTTTAAAGTTTTAATATAAATAAACTCAGTTATATGCCCACTGAACACTAAAATTTATTTTAATACAATGAATATTGTTGTTTCACCATGACAATGTAATACATAATGCATATCTTTAAAGTAGTTTTAGTTGAAAAAAGTTAGACTATAAGAAAAGAACAAATACTTTGCTTATGTTTCATATTTAAAAAATCGTATTGATTAAACAAAATTATCAAAATACATTTCAATCCGTATTATAACATGGAATATATAATAAACTAGCTTTCCGCCCGCAGCTTCGCCCGCCTGGTGTTCGGTTATATCGCGTTTTCTAGAAAACCTTTAAAAATTCTGGGATAAAAACTATCCTATGTTCTTTCTCAAGATCAACTCTATCTCTGTATCAAATTGCATTAAAATTAGTTCAGTGGTTTAGGCGTGGAAGCGTAACAGACAGACAGAGTTACTTTTGCATTTATAATATTAGTATGGATACAATCAATCAGAGGGAAATGTATTAAAGAAAACGAGAACCGTTCTAATACGAAATGTTTGCTGATACATAGAAGACGACCCCGAGCTCATACTACAGGTCACCTACACGTCTGTTGACTGGATAATGTAGAAGACTAGGAGGAAGGAGGAAAACTTGTAATAAGTTAAAGAAAAACTATTAGATGTGTTAAAGAAGTTTCTTCTAAGAATATAAACTCACCTTACTTGTATAATATATCAAATTCACTTGGAGTATAGACTTATGAAAGTTAAATCTTATAAATATGTTTAAAGGAAAGGAGAAACAAATTGAATGCTACAAATAATATGTTGTTAATAAATACGGGATCGTTGTTGTAATCTGTTCAGACCAGATGTATCAAGAAGTATAATAAAATATTTCAAACTCACTACGACTGTGGTAATGTTGGAATGAGAAAGTTAATTACGATATTTGTGTGAAGTATAATATGTGGTGTTTAGATTTTCCAACAAAAAGAGAGGACGATTATAAAAAAAACTCCATGTTGAGTATATTTAGCTCGCGACCACGGTGAGTGCGACCTCGTTATATATGAAGCAAGGTAACACACGCGTGTGCTTATTGTAGGTTTGTAGATAGTTATAGTGGTCTCGTTAATAAGAAGGTTTATATGTTATATTTGTAACCGTCCAATATAAAAGTTTCAACGTCAGTCCGATGTTGCTGTCTCTATAGATCTACTTCTTCTTCCTAGCAATTTCCCGGCTATAGCCAGGGTCTGCCTTACATGTTGTGAATAGTTTTGGCTAATTGTTTTTATGACTGGCTGCCTGCCTGACATTAACCCTCTTTTTGGGAATCAACATTAATCAGTGATGTCTAAATAGTCTTAGAAAGTACATATGATTCGAAAAAATCACATTAGTACTTGCCCGGGCCAGGATCGAACCCGCGCCTTCGGTAACGAGAGGCGGGCCCATTAACCACTAGGCCACCACTGACGTTGCTGTCTCTATAGATATAGTCTCAATATGTGCATTGACATTCATTATGTTCTTTTAGATGATTTCAACCATTTCAGTCTTCTTAATATACATATATTTGAAATTTATTTTTGTATTAAAATTTCTTAGTTAACTTTATTCTGGGTCTTAGTTATATGATCAAGAAAATATTTTGAGTAAATCCAGTAATTATGTTTCCATGATGCTTTAAATTAATGAAAAGCAAGCATGTGCTGTGGAAGGACTTCCTTAAATATGTATAGACACTGTGAAAGGTTCGTTCGATTATCATTCATTATTATTTAATATTACTTTTTGTAAAGTATTCTGACATATTAAACTAGAAGAAAATATAATAAGTTAAAAAAATATTATATACATAATGTATTATTATCCTTGTTACGTTTTTGTTTTCTTGAAAATTTGTACTTTGCAATTACACTGCAAAATTAAAGTGGAAAAAGGTGTTTGTACATGTGTGTGTGTGTGTTTGTATGTGTGCGTATGGCATTGTAGTTCACCAACAGACCCACCGATTTTGAAGACAATTTTTCTAGTTATAGCCATTGTCCTCATGGTTGTCTTTATCCTTGTTTAATTCACATCGGTTCAATAGTGTAACAGTATCACATCTTTTAAAAAAATATTAAAAGCATTTTTTCATACGATTACTTTTATAAATGCTCAAAAAGGAGTTTGTAAAATTATATAAAATAAATACTTATTTCACGTCATGGTAATAAAACAATGTATTGGAGTTTTAAAACTTTTTTATATTTTTATCAAGAGTATTAGTTTTAGTGTAGTCATCAGAAACATTTTTATTATTTTGTGATCACATTCATTAAAATAATAAATCAACTATATTACAACTGGATCGTGGTGAGGATGTCGATGTGAGGAACAGATTCATCCAAAAGTCACTGAAACAAGAAGAACGATCACAGCTCGTGACGTATGTTATAAAAGAAGGTTACATTTAATTATACAGGTGACTGGTGAATTACTATCAATATTTAACGAGAATTCTCGGTACATGATTCTCATTCGAATTATGTAAAAAAAATAGGTACTTAATTTTTGAACAAAATTCCGTATAAATAAATAAAGTGTGGACACGTTCCAAGTGTTCCAAGTGTGGACGCGTGCGTCGGCGTGCTGATACAACACCACGCCGCCAAACGCGTGTGTGTGTGTGTGTGTGTATACCTTATCTGTAGGGTGTTCACACGATGCGTAATTAATAACATAACTTTTGGTTAACTTTACTTAGAAGTTTATTAATATTTATGTTATATTAATTTTTATTTTGTCATATATGATCGTCAAATATCACGTCCTCAAGTATTGATAGTAATTCACCAGTCACCCTGTATATACTATAATTAAAATTACATGGATATTAAGACTTATCAATCAATAAGTAAACTATAATATTATTCAAGTATGTTCAGTTTCAGCACACTAGAGATCTTATTTTTTTCCATGTAAGGACACATTTTTATTTTTCTATTATTGTATATTATGGTGTTTACTCACATGATATTATGTCAACCAGAGCGTTAAGTCTGTCAATCTTGTTCTCTATTTTGTCGATGAGCAATAGTGAGAGCAACGAAGTGCCGTTACTAAAAAAATATTTTATACATTATTATTAAGTTTAACATCATTTGGTAATTGGTTGTATGAAAAAGTAACTTGTTCATCGTTTTAATTTAATGAAATCACTGCTTGTAGGAAAAATATATTTCTTTTCTTCTATATTTTTTAATTGTAATGTTTATTTAAAATTCATAAATAACTTACACTTGACATTCTGCGGTGGAGCACAACTGAAACAGATAAATTAACTCAATTAATAAGCGTTTGAAGACTGTTTGAAGTTTGACTTG